TCGAACATCGATAAATCAGTTCGATTCACGATGTGGTCGATCAAACAAAGAACCCGAATCCTGATGCAGATCGCATCCGAGGGGCGGACTCCTGCGCAATGCGCATTCCCGCCGTCCGCGTCACGACGAGCCTTTGTCGGCGCGGGATAGGAACGAACCCATAGATTAATAAATCTAAGACCGAACCTAACGATTATACCTAGATAGCTGCTGTTTATCGATTTTTTTTTTGTATTAGGAGACCTAATTATTTTGTACCATCACTTGACAGACAGAGCCGTTCTACCTGAGCTTACTTATTTCACCATCAATCATGATGGCATTCTTCTTCTTCTTGTCGTGTCGACAACAAACCTACACAGCGTCGGCCTATAACTCCGCCACAAGAATGGCGTTATCAGTAGCCTAGCCTTCCTTCATTAAATCTTCCTGTGTGCATTGAATTTTCGGATAGTTCCAGTTTATTCTGTAACCTATTATTGGTATCGTTTGAAAGAGCTAGTGAAGCACTTTCAGGATCAGTAACCAGTTTTTAGGGTTCCGTAGCCAAATGGCAAAAAACGGAACCCTTATACATAGATTCGTCATGTCTGTCTATCCGTCTGTCCGTCCGTATGTCACAGACATTTTTTTCCGAAGCTATAAGAGGTATACTGTTGAAACTTGGTAGGTAGATGTATTCTGTAGTAATACCTCGTAAATCGTAAACCGCTTATTACCGCGTAATCTTTCATACAAATAACTTAAATTAAAAAAAAATAATTTCATAAATCAATGGTACGGAACCCTTTGTGCGTGAGTCCGACACGCACTTGGCCGGTTTTCGATATCTTGTATAGTTTAGAAATAATCGAGTGAGATCACTTATCGTTTCCACTGTTTCCACCCTGTAGGTATTAGTGATACCATTGCAGTGCAGAGGATGCGTCATCGCCCCCTAGAAAGAGTCGCGAGTTCAGCGCTTGCGCCGCTCTATTGTTAGCAAACAATCCACGACCATTAACGAGTTTTCTATAGGTGCCATTACAAAAATAAACATTACGAAACGTTCGGGCGCGCCACCCGACGCAAAAGCGAGTGGTTTTGTATTTCGGCGCAAAAATATATTTCGCCTTTTGCACGCTAAATCCCGGGAGTCAACAAAAAGAGCTAAATTAAACGAAGCGTAGATAACAATAGAGAGTCGGATTCGGATAGCGCAATATATTCCTGAATCGCGAATTCGCGATATAACGTGAAAAATAAACATTTGACCACGACAGCTGCGCCGGGGTTGAGGCGAGGTAGGAGGGAGGATGCCAGCGCAACTAATCGCATTACGTTATCGCGACCGGTAATCCCTCGAGATAACCTGCCTGCCTCATTATAAATAACAATGCAATTAAAATGTAAAGCGTCCATTTTCGAGCTGATGGCGTCTCCGAGGTGTCATCGCCGGATGAACAGCATCTACGCAGCCACGCATCATCGCCGCCCACTCGTTGCCTTGCGGCTCCTTCTCCTTCGCAGCATTACAGAAATAAAAATAAACTCTATGAAATAATTATGTTAGTTAAATCAAATTATTAAGGATTAAGTTATTAATAAGGATACTATAAAATAAATGACAAGAGTGCGTGGACTTTACCTGACACACTTATTATAGTACAGGGGACCGCAAAGAAAAAGGGTTGATTAGAAAATCTTCAATATTTTCAAAAGCATCTGACGTAGCTTTATTTATAAACTAATTCAAGCTTTTTATTTTTAATAAATGTAAATAAATCTATATATATAAAAATGAAACCCGTTTCGCGTTGTCACGGCATCACGTGTGAACGGCTGAACCGATTTCGATAATTCTTTTTTTTTAATGTTTGTGGAAGTCCAAGGATGGTTCTTACGGAAAAAAATATTAAGAAAATCTCTACGCTAAGGCGGTACGAAGTTCGCCGGGTCAGCTAGTGTACAAATAAAAATAAATGCCCAGTTTTTCCAGTAAGTTTTGTTTCATAAAGCTAGTACTTATAGGTAGGTAGGTAACTTTTGAAGACCAAGACAGATGATTGTCGATGTGATTTTCTACCCGACCCTTTTTATTAGCGGTCCAGTGTATCTTGTATAATGTAAGTAGGTAGGTATTTGCTGTATCTAAACGAAAAAAAAATGCTGTCAAAGGTGACTGGTGAGTTGATTCAGCCGCTTTCTCTTAGCACCCTGCCCAATACTGCCCATGTTATTTATGAGTGTTAGTTAACATCACCAAAACTTTCGTCCTCTGTAAATGAGCTGAAAGATGTCGACACGACATGAGTCTCCTTCCTTAGTAAGTACCTACACGTAAACTAAGTAGGTACGTGATTAGAATGCCCAGTAAGTGTACTCGATAGCCAAACGACGTAATGTTGGCATCATCGGACCGGATTCCTATACGTTTATGTCGTAAACGTTAGCTTGAACACGTTAGTGATCCGGAAGGCGCAATATTGTCCACGTTGGCACAGCCACCCGATAACCGCTCGTTTCCTGCCAAAAACGCGAGCCGATGTAAAAAGCGGTTCCAACGATAAATTGCCGGTTATTTGCGCACCCGCACTCTTGAACACGTACGAACCCTCACCACGGAGCTCCATGGCAGGCTCGCCTTTGCAACGCTCCGTATACATCGCTCTCCAGTCCAAACTGGAGCAGTGAATCCAATATCTTTCGCTGCAATGGACATCAAATAGTACTAAAAGCCACTAAACTATGTCAAGTGGAAAGCCAAGGGGCCCGGCTAAGCACAATAGTGCTGAGACTATTCGAAACTATAAGTGGAAGCGATTCTTCACTCACGTTTTAATTAAAGCCAAAAGCGGCACGAGAGGGTCCGCCGGAGTTATGAGGTGCGGACTGCGGTAGGCCAATCGCTTATCATAACGTCTCATTCATTATTCTCATTTATTAAAATTTCAATTACCTGATTGAGAATAATAAAAGATAGTGGATGGAGGCACGGCTGCTCACAGTTTCCACTATTGGGGCAATTAATAAATAAATTATATTTATTACTATCGTGAATGCGCTGCGGGCGGAGCGCGGCGTGACGGATGCGCTGCGTGTGTTGTGGCTGCGGTTAGAAAATCTCGTGAAACTCATTTTTTTAACGACAGCAGGATAATGTATTAGGGTCGAATCTGCAAAACACCCTTAAAACAGCGGCATCATCTCTTATTCTCAAGCCATCAACGCTGGGTGAAGGAGGGACACAAGTAGATGCGAATAATGCCACAAACGTTCTGCAAAGTTGACCCTAAAACGTGTCGTGGTGATGGGGGACACTTCGTGCGCAAATTGAGCAAAACATCCGCAAGTTTCAGCGATAATCGACTCGACGATCTCGTCGCTCGCTCGCATGATGGCGGCGACTGCCATCATCCAGATTGTCGGCTTAATGGAGTAGTTCGCGATTGCCTCCATTTCACACACTGATCGATGAGTGCAGGCACTGTTCGTTTTTCCCTCGCAATCGATTTGGCGAGCTAAAATGTTAAAAAGATTAGTAAACCCATACCTTTTACATAAAATAATGTTTTGTGTACGAAAATGGGTTTAAAACTGTAAGTATGTAACAAATCTGTATAAGTATTATCAATTATCTCCACTTCTCCAGCATCCACCTTAGAAAAACACTTCCACTTTAAACATAGGTAAAGGTATGATGTTTTCATCATCATTGCAAATCCATCCATAAAGCGAGCCAAATCATGGCTCTCGGCGTTGGCCTGCGCCTTAAGTCGATCTATAAATCGCTTATATGATGAAGTCGTACAAAGGAAACTAAGTTTCTTCCGCCTTTTCTCAAAATCAGCCGCTATATTGACCCGAAATAGTGATTAATATTTGGAACACCTATAAAAGTGCGCTGAAAATTACCTAATTTGAATTTGGGTTACCCAAATCTTTTTAAGTTCAAAAGGAAATAGATGATTACTTAGGTAATTAGTCCATTAAGTAGGGGCTCTCGAGCGCATGCCTGTCACAAATAATCGAAATCGTCCACTCAGCCGTAAGAAGAAGGATCGGCGTCAGTCAGGTGGATTCCAGATTTGCCTCCCAGAGCTGATCTGTGACAATCACAAGCGCGCAAAAAGTAGGGACTTTTGGAGATGTCCGTCCACCGAGCTCCCATAATAGCTCGTCCGTTTCTGTTGTCGACTGTGGTCGATTTGTGTTTGCGAGCAGGGCTGGTGTAGTAATTACGTCGGATGTGTTCGAGGGCTGGGAGGCGCGGGTTTACGACCAGGAACAATGCCTGTTTACTCCCGCTCTATTGTTGCCGCGAGCAATGCACCCGATCCTTCCACGACGTTATTTCATCACACTTCCTTGAGCGGGACATACACGGCTCAATTTCCTTATTTGTGAATTGTGACAGAGGTAATGGAAAAATCATACTTGTGTGGAAATAACCAGCAAAGACGTGTAGGTAGGCAATAATATTTACAGTGTTTTTAAGTTTTTATGAATGCCTTCACAGTAATTTCCTTCCAATTTTAAAATCCTACTTCCTGCGAATATTAATATAAAAGTTACAGTATTTATTGTTTATAATAACTCAGAATAACATACCTACTTAGGCTATAATTTATGATGATCTGTTACAAACTGAATTTCACGCGGGTGAAGACGCGGGCAAAAGCTAGTCTTAAAATAATGTTTCTGTGTGCGGCACTATCCGCGAACCCTGCGACTGCTACCGAGCACGGGGTGGAAACGCCATAGAGTTTGACAGCTCCATAGAGAGTGAATTTTTTTGACAGTTCCGAGAGGAAGTGACTTTTTTTATAGTTGTCTTCTGTATGCGACAGTGGTCTTTTGCATGTTAGAAACCTTAGAAACCTTTTCGAATTACAACTTCAGCTTTTATTCATAAATTATTTTATTGAATCTATGTGATTTCTATAAATTAAATGGTTATTTAAAAGTATAATAATTCAAAGTCGTAATTTTCACTTTAATCACTTTANAACCACACAAAGGATTAAATGTTCATTACAATATCATTCATAACTCCATTTAAATCAATGGAAACTAAATATGGATCGTTTCATGGAGTAACAACATACATTGGAGTTTGGACCCAAAATACAATACACGTAGGTACATTGCAGGCATAGATTGCAGGACACAGTGAATGATACGTGTTTTATACAGTGAATCTAAGTACCTATTTGTTTCAGGTTAATATCGAACTTATAAGGTGTTAAGCTGCAATTACAATAAAAGTGCTTGCTATGGAATCACCGGTGCTGATCATTATTGTCAACTGTTACTTAAAATCCAGAAGAACCAACCTTACTTCCTATTCAAATAAGTTTATAAGAAACCTATATAAGTAATAAAACCAGACCAAGAATGCTTGATTACAAATGATGAACTCATTTCATTTGCAAGTTATGCCATCACATAAATGCATTAAATTAGGAAGATTTGTATTAGATGAATTACCCAGATAACAATTAAAACAACTTCTGTTGATAAGAACATTTGGTAAGTACCTTTAAAATTTAAAACACCCTCAAAATGATTCTAACCCTATCCTCTGACGCTTTTCGACTAGGATCAAATAAAAGTTAATTATTTAATTACAGATTGGTGGAATCCAGATTCTGTGAATGTACATGTAATTGATTGACAAGTACACATTTGACAAGGTAAATTAATTTTATTTAACAAAGTAGTGCAAATCTAGAAACAAAACAGACAGTAAGTAGGTATGGTAGATAAGACAGATCACTTGTTCATCTGCTGTACTCTTTATAATATTAGTGTAGAATGTAGATGATGTAGGAGATTACAGTCTTACGGTGACATGTGCATCTTTTTGCTCTAAATTTACAATTATTTCATATATTTTACAGGTGGTGAGAAACGTGTAGATCTGGCCTGCTTACAGTGGCTATTGGATTGGACAGAACCAAAGTGAGAGTGAACGTGTGAATTTATGGAGAACATTAAAAACTATTTTACTATAAGTCATAACGCAACTTATTTTGTATGAGTTACATACAAATGTCAAGCCGTGAGTACATTATGTAAAAACTAAAACAATGTACTGCAATCTTTTAAAATCCAATAGTTTTAATGCTTATTGATTTTCGTAAACAAAATATTTCATGTTATATTTCATCAATAAAGTTTCATTTGATACTTCAATAGTTTTATTTTTAACCGCAATACATGAAAAGGAACGGATAATAAAAAAGTATGACAGGTATATTTAATCTGTGGGCGGCAGACGCCATATTGTATTCAGCGCCACCTACTGGACAATCTAGCTCGGTACCAGTTTGTTTATCGTTTAACCAATACTAGGGCCGTTTCCTATCTGTCTTTAGACATACTCTCTAATCTGTGCCATCGCTGCGGAAATAAGTGCAAGAAGAACGTGATAAAAATATTATTTTTCTTTACATGTAGGTAGGTGCTGAATAGTTAGTCTAAATGGCAAGACAAGTGGCTGAAGTGCAGATCCACGCTACTGACTCCGAGTTCGACGACTTGAAAGACGTGGACGTGAGCGTGGACCTCATTGACGATGGATTATACCTTGGTATTTATCAAAACACTAATAACTTATCTACAAACCTGCCTTCTTTCTTTTAAGATAGCAACTATATGTTTCTACCTTCTTAGTTTTAAGAGTAACATAACTTTAGTGAGGTAAAAATTAAACCCCAAAAAAAAAAAACGTGTGCCACCTACTAAGAACAAAAATATTGTATCATTAATATTGTTTTTATTTATTTATTTAAGGATAGTACACAGCACAATATCAATCTGTAACAATGTACAATGTTTTTAGTAGATTTTGTAGGCCAATTATGACTATCCAACATGAAACATTTCTACATACCTTCTCGAGTGACAACCATGTACCTTTAACATTTACTTTTAAATTATAGGCAATGTGGCATGCGCACACGACCAAAAGATGTTGCAGCAGCTGGGAATCACACACATCCTGACGCTGGACCTGGTGCCTCTGCCGAGGACTATCTTGGATCGGCCCAACCTCACATTTAGATTTGTTCAATGTAAGTTTATTTCTAAAATTCAATCTTGAAGCTTGAAATTATCCTGCTGTTATACTTTTTGTAACTGATGATGAGTGTTGCTGACGCGTGAAACTTCCACAGAGGAGGTTCTCCTGCTAGATTTAATTTTCTTAAAAAACTATGATTTGACGTCCTGTCATTTGTAAACAAGTACTTTGTGGATATGCTGGTGGCTTACAATCAGGGCCGTCTTTAACCTACTAGGGGCCCTGGGAATTTAAAGATTTTAAGGATTAATGGGGGCCCTTATCATCTGGAAAAAGGTCTTATTAGCAGATGGGAGCCCCCTTGCTCGCGGGGCCCTGGGCACGTGCCCAAAGTGCCCAGTGGGAAAGAGGGGCCTGCTTACAATCGTTTTATAAAGTTCAATAAAATTAATATCATGTAGAGACAACAGCATATCAAAGTTGTAATGCAAGTGATTTTGTAACAAAAATATATAGTTCAATGTAGAGTACCTTTCTATTTCTATTCTATTTAATAATTTTCAGTGTCTGACATGCCAAAAGAGGATTTAATCACACATTTGCCAGAGACTAATAATTTCATCAGAGAGGCCATCGCTTCTGGGGGCACTGTTCTTGTGCATTGGTGAGTAGAACCAGAGGTATCCAATTTTTATGGAGAAGTTTTAGAGTCAGCTCATGATGTACAGATAACGGCACATTAAGCTAAATACTGAGTCATCCTTGATCTTCGTTCGTTTCAGCCGAAAGACGTCCACTGCTGGACAAAGGCATCCCCCAAAGATTTTCACAAAGATTTTCACAAAGACCGGCCGCACCCAGGCACCTCCCGCGACCTTGATCCTATGTAGTTATAATTAGACAGATTATGCAACAAAAATGTATTGTCTGTAAACCTTTGGAGTAATTATTTCCTTCTTTTTACAGTTTCTTTGGAGTCTCCCGTTCTGCTGCAGTTGTCATTGCCTACATAATGGAGAAGTATGGCCTTTGCTACGAAGAAGCGTATGTATTGGTTAAGAGCAAGCGGCGCTTCGTCTCTCCTAACGTGGGATTCGTGGCCCAGCTGAAACTGTTTGGTCACATGGGCTACACACTGAACAGAGAAGACCCTAGGTTCAAGCAGTTTAGGCTGAAAATGGCTGGCCAGAAACTGAAACAAGGTATGTTATTTTCAAGGGTATTATAGTAAATATTTTGATAATATTGCGATTGAAATTAGTACTTTTGGCTCAGTAGCTCTTATAAAACTAATATTTTCAACTCTGAGTCTTCTCTATACACTTGTAGTGGTAGAGTAAGCTATATTGGGATGTGTACAGGGGCGTAGCTACTAAGGGGCTAGGCGGGGCAGTGCCACGGGGCCCCCAAGCTCAGGTGGCCCCCGAATCCTTACCAGTAAATCTGTTAAAAATTGAACTGAGCTTTAAAGAAAACCAAACCAGTTTAGATTGCAGTAGGGCCCTATTTTTTATTTGACACAGGGCCCTTGGTTACCTAGCTACGCTACTGGATGTGTGTAAGAGCCCTAATGAAAGGGCCTAAGTACTGAATAAAAGCTTTGATTTTGATTGAAGTTCACGAAAATTGTGTTAATATTTTCTGGACAATTTGACCACCTTTGTCACAGGCATCACTTTTCTCACGCACACATGGTTTACACGATAATTTATGTGATTCCAGTGAAGATCCTGCCTCAGCTATTCGCGGACCTAGTGAAACCTGACCCGGGGCTGACGCGCGAGCGGCCCGACCCGCGCGTCTACCGCTGCCGGCGCTGCCGCCGCGTCGTGGCCAGCCAGCGCAACATCATCCCGCATCTACCACGCTCTGTGGGTGATATAACCCTTAATTAGTAAGCTGAAGTGGCAATGGACAGGGAATACACCACAAAATTTTTATCACCGAAAATTTTTAACAGGTTATGTAGAAATGTGTGAAATATTTAAAGAAAAAGAAATGTTTTTCATAAAGTTCTTTTTGTATTAAATTTTCTTTAGTCCGTATTTTACGCGTCACAGCTGGGTCACTCCGCTGCTCGCTAGAGTAGTCGTACGCGCTCGCACGTTGCCCTGATCTGTCTGTCTCGCTCACGCCTCGACCACGCTTCCAGTGTTATTATTACATATTTAGCTAACTTAGACCATTTTAAATTCTAATAAGTGTTACATTATCGTACGTAAATAGTGCTAGCGACGCGTGTGTCCATAAATTACCAATTTTAGGAGGAAATTTTGAGTCACTTTATTTAACTTCTTTTTTGCACAAATGGGAGCAGTATCAATAACTCAGAATCAACCCAGAATTTTTTTTTCGGTCATTAAAATTTAGTGGTGTATAGTGCGCAGAACTGACGGCCGATGGGGCATCAAGATTCTGGAGTGGAGGCCACGTACTGGAAAGCGCAGCGTAAGACGTTCACCCATAAGGTGGACCGATGACCTCATAAAGGTACCGGGAAGCCGCCACCAACCGGCCATTGTGGAAATCATTGGTGGAAGCCTATGTTCAGTAGTGGACGTCCTATGGCTGAAATGATGATTATGATTATGAAAGCACTAAATTAAACTATCATTGAAACCGCAGCGAAACTGGTCAGAAGAATGTTTTCTTTCCTATTAGAGGTTACGTAATTGAAACTTTTGAAATGAATTTATCGTTTCTTGAATCTATTACAAAATATTAATACCTGACTGTCAGAGTGCCTATTAGAGAATCTGTTGTTGAAACAACTATAGTCTCTCAATCAAGCATATATTTAGCTAAAGTCCGGTCGCCGAGCACGTAGGATTTCGTCCAATGACCCCAAGCTACCCATCCTTATCGCTCGCGCGTAATTATATTGCAGTGAGTGTGCGAGGATGGGTAGCTTGGGGTCAATGGACGAAATCCTACGTGCTCGACGACCGGACTTTAGAGAAGTATAACGGGATTATCATGCAATAATTTCCCTTTGCAGGTGAAAGTGGAACTAGCAAAGAAAGGCATCAGGCCGCCGCCCAGCAAACTCACAGGCCTGACGTGCGCGGAGAACGGGGAGCTCCTCATCAAGAAGCTCAAGAGCCTCGCGTGCCAGATCCTGGAGGAGGACAGCGACCAGGCTGAGGCGACGCTTGATGATAGTCAGGGCGAGGAGGGATCTAGTCAGGTATGAAAGTTATTTATATTCTGAAAAAAGCGCTTTTACATGTCCCAGTATCTTTATGATGAAACTATTATTATGTACTATAGTCTGGTCCGTGAGCACGTAGAATTTTGTCCAATGACCCCAAGCTACCCATCCTTATCGCTCGCGCGTAATTATGTTGCTATCGCGACTGTGCGACGCGCGCCCGCAGTGAGTGTGCGAGCGCGACAGCAACATACTACGCGCGAGCGATAAGGATGGGTAGCTTGGGGTCATTGGACAAAATTCTACGTGCTCACAGACCGGGTTTTTAATCCTTATTGATTGCTAAGACTAATTCAATGTTTCACCCCATTCCAGCACTTAGACGGCTACAGCGAAGGCAACCTAGTAGACGGGAGCATAGCGGCGCGCGACGAGGCCCAGGCGTGCCGGCTAATGTGGTTCGTGGAGCCCATGGCGTGGATGGCGGACGTCACGCACGCGCCGCAGGGCAAGCTGCACTGCCCCAAGTGCCGCACGCGCCTCGGCAGCTTCAGCTGGGTCATGGGTGAGCTTGTATACATCCCGCACCTCCTGTATACACTGACGGCGTGGATGGCGGGCGTCACGCACGCGCCGCAGGGCAAGCTGCACTGCCCCAAGTGCCGCACGCGCCTCGGCAGCTTCAGCTGGGTCATGGGTGAGCTTGTATACATCCCGCACCTCCTGTATACACTGACGGCGTGGATGGCGGGCGTCACGCACGCGCCGCAGGGCAAGCTGCACTGCCCCAAGTGCCGCACGCGCCTCGGCAGCTTCAGCTGGGTCATGGGTGAGCTTGTATACATCCCGCACCTCCTGTATACACTGACGGCGTGGATGGCGGGCGTCACGCACGCGCCGCAGGGCAAGCTGCACTGCCCCAAGTGCCGCACGCGCCTCGGCAGCTTCAGCTGGGTCATGGGTGAGCTTGTATACATCCCGCACCTCCTGTATACACTGACGGCGTGGATGGCGGGCGTCACGCACGCGCCGCAGGGCAAGCTGCACTGCCCCAAGTGCCGCACGCGCCTCGGCAGCTTCAGCTGGGTCATGGGTGAGCTTGTATACATCCCGCACCTCCTGTATACACTGACGGCGTGGATGGCGGGCGTCACGCACGCGCCGCAGGGCAAGCTGCACTGCCCCAAGTGCCGCACGCGCCTCGGCAGCTTCAGCTGGGTCATGGGTGAGCTTGTATACATCCCGCACCTCCTGTATACACTGACGGCGTGGATGGCGGGCGTCACGCACGCGCCGCAGGGCAAGCTGCACTGCCCCAAGTGCCGCACGCGCCTCGGCAGCTTCAGCTGGGTCATGGGTGAGCTTGTATACATCCCGCACCTCCTGTATACACTGACGGCGTGGATGGCGGGCGTCACGCACGCGCCGCAGGGCAAGCTGCACTGCCCCAAGTGCCGCACGCGCCTCGGCAGCTTCAGCTGGGTCATGGGTGAGCTTGTATACATCCCGCACCTCCTGTATACACTGACGGCGTGGATGGCGGGCGTCACGCACGCGCCGCAGGGCAAGCTGCACTGCCCCAAGTGCCGCACGCGCCTCGGCAGCTTCAGCTGGGTCATGGGTGAGCTTGTATACATCCCGCACCTCCTGTATACACTGACGGCGTGGATGGCGGGCGTCACGCACGCGCCGCAGGGCAAGCTGCACTGCCCCAAGTGCCGCACGCGCCTCGGCAGCTTCAGCTGGGTCATGGGTGAGCTTGTATACATCCCGCACCTCCTGTATACACTGACGGCGTGGATGGCGGGCGTCACGCACGCGCCGCAGGGCAAGCTGCACTGCCCCAAGTGCCGCACGCGCCTCGGCAGCTTCAGCTGGGTCATGGGTGAGCTTGTATACATCCCGCACCTCCTGTATACACTGACGGCGTGGATGGCGGGCGTCACGCACGCGCCGCAGGGCAAGCTGCACTGCCCCAAGTGCCGCACGCGCCTCGGCAGCTTCAGCTGGGTCATGGGTGAGCTTGTATACATCCCGCACCTCCTGTATACACTGACGGCGTGGATGGCGGGCGTCACACGAAGTTTTCAAACTCGTGTGGACTGTGGTGGACGTTATTTTTAACATAGACAGTTCTAAAACCTATCTATTTAGCTCCATAACGATCACTCGTTAACTAGCGTCAAAATATTTATCTATTTTCCACAACGCTTTATGCGACTAAAGCCTGGTCCGTGAGCACGTAGAATCCCGTCCAATGACCCCAAGCTACCCATCCTTGTCGCTCGCGCGTAATTATATTGCTGTCGCGACTGTGCGACGCGCGCCCGCAGTGAGTGTGCGACCAGGCTTTAGCGATGGATAACTTGACAACAATCAAGAACCAAAAACATAAAGCAAAATTCTCAATGTAACATCAGAATTTCTTATGAAACAATATGACAAATGTATCTTACACTGTTGATAATTATCCGATAATTATCTGATAATTATCTGATAATGATCACGAAGCGTAATTATCTTGATAATTTCGAACCGTGGTAATAATAATCATGTATCTTCACAGGTTGCAAATGCCCATGCGGACAGAAGGTGGCGCCTGCATTCTACATGGTGCCATCAAAAGTGGAGTGGTCCAACATCGTTCAGAACGTGCAGGTCACCGTCTGAGGACCAAGTGAGGCCAATAATAATGCTTTAGTCTATACAGGGTGTTAATCAAAAGATATGAGATAATGTATAAAACATTTTAATCTACTAATCGGATGTAAATCGTTTGTGCCTCCCTGTATATATTGAGACTCCGACATAACCATTGTAGGTTATTAAAAGCATTTAAAAATATTTTGAAACCAGTATAGGTTGCGCAAAGAAAGTCGAGGCGAATATTTACTCACACAGATGTAATATTTTAATACAGAACACACAAATCGGTCAATACGCAAGACATCACCGCTACAAGCGCTTTTTTTTTGTTTCTGATTCATGGCAATCTGTTTTTCAACAATAAGCCACTTCTTTGTTTGATTCCTCAGTTTATGTTTTCTTCGAGAGCCATACTTGTGTGAAAATTCATTTCACACGACTCTTGATGTCAAGTGGTAAATCTTTTATGTAGGCTCGGTATGTCATTTATTTTTAGCCGGGTGTGCTGAAGAGCGCCTTCCCCACTTAGAGCGTGTGCTAGTTTGTTTATATGGACGGCCAGCTTCTGGTATTTCAGGCTGTTTCCTGCCGAACTGTTTTTACGCTACAAGGGTATACAGACAAATCTTTTGCTTCTTGTGATCGCCTCAACTTTTACTGCGCGACCTATAAAATTATTCAAAATAGTTGTGTGCCAAGGATTATTAATTAAAGTATTCAATGACCATTGCATCAAAAGACATAATATTCGTAAGGTAGTCCAGCTAGCTAACTAGACAGTGGGAAAAAACATTAAAATGCAACATAAATTTTAAATAATTTATTGTATGTATTTACAAATTTTGATTCATAAATAAGTAAAACATTTGGTTTTATAGCAAAATCTTAAAAACTAATATTTACATTGACTAGAATACAACATTAACTTACTTGAGAAAATACAGACTAGAAACATAAGAACTAGCAATAATTTGAGCTTTCCCTTTCTGATTCTCCGGCAAAAAAGCTAAATGTACATAATATACAGGATGGAATTTTGTAATGCCACCTGGAGGGAAAATACTCTTAATATTGTAGATAGAAAAATTTTCTCAAAAAAAAACATTCCTTTAATTTTGACAAGAAATAGAAACTGCATTCAAAGATTTCCAAAACTTTGCTTGCTACACCCGGGAATCGAACCAACTAAAATCTGTTAAAAATTACACCCTGTATTTTTATTGCATCGATCGTTAGGGTTAAGTATAAGGATGAAATCTCTCTAACAAACTTGATAAATCAAATGAAAGGAAAACAATGAAATCTTAAATTATCTTAATTATTTACAGAAAATTGTATGGTATGGTATTGAATTTTCGAAAGATTTTCAAAAATCTACGAATGCAGTTCTCTTTCTTTTCAAAAATAAATGAATGTTTTCTTTCAGTAAAATTTTCTATCTACAGTATTAAGAGTAGAGATGAAACGGATAGTTGTTTGGCCGGATACCGGATACCGGATATCCGGCCAGCTGCTAGGCCGGATAGCCGGATATCCGGCGGCCGGATAGTTGGCCCATTGTCTCGTTGCATGTCGTGACGAGTTTAGCGCCGCACAGGTGCTTCGAACGCGATCAGTGGGTCTATTAGTAGACTAGACTGCTCGTTTGCCTCCTGTCACATAAAAAAAAAGACTAGGCACACTTTTCGAAAATCGAACCCGTCCGAATAGAATGTCAGATTTTCTCACTTGTCTAGGGGGCAGATCAATTCGGGTGATTTCGGTTGCTATAGCGACTGTGTGATTGAATAGCAAAAATTTAATTAGTTTACTTGCTGCGTAATCTGCTGACTGAACTACATGCATCATGTACAGTATGAGTCACGATAAAGTGCACATATGAAAATAGGTGAAACTAGACTAATTTTTATCGACAAAAAAGAGGTAAAAAAAAATTTAAGGTTTTTTTTTTTTTTATAGAATTTTTTTTCTTCCAATTACTTCTTGCAAAGAAAACGTCATAACTTTTAAACTAAGAGGTTCAAACGATTATAGCAAATGTTGTGATAGGGATAGAGACATGCAATTTTTGGTTTTACAAAAGTTATACGATAGAGAATAATACAAAGTAATAAAAACTACCTGTTATAGGGGCATTATTTGGAGAAATTTATCAAATAACACGAATTTAAAAGGATATTTTTTTCAAAAAGTATAATTTTTTATTATTTGTTGGCATTTTCTGGGTATTTTATGTATTTTTTTAGTATTGCCTGTTATTTAGCATCATTACTGTTTTTATTTTATCAGGATATACCTCTTAGTTTAAAAGTTATGACGTTTTCTTTGCAAGAAGTAATTGGAAGAAAAAAAAATCTATAAAAAATAAACTTAAAATTTTACGTGACTCACACTGTATGTCACCAGACCATCAGTGAAAAAAATGTTTACTATTTAAGTATTCGTCATTAGAGATTAGCCCAGAAAAAGAAATAAGTTTTTTGAAAGGCCTTAATATGGCTTATTAGTAACTTTTTGGACCTTAAATAAAAGCCGTCATTATTATAAGCCATTTCATTGATATTTACCTCAAAGATTAATGTATTTCATTTTATTAATAGGAAAATGTCGTAGTTTTTTAATATCCGGTATCCGGCCGGATAGTGCGTTACTATCCGGTATCCGGCCGGATAGTAAATTTAGGCCGGATATCCGGCCTACCGGATAGTTACCGGATATCCGTTTCATCTCTAATTAAGAGTACTTTCCCTCCAGGTGGCATTACAAAATTCCACCCTGTATAGCAGTAGTTTGATGAAGTTGCCTGCGAAAGTAGCTTGTTTTACTTGCATAGCAGCCATGGCGTTGTTAATGGTCAAAATTGTTAAAAATATTGTCTATGTTAACTGTACAGTGTACATTTGCTTCTCCTTTATTTAGGATTGTAGGGTACAGTTGGAACTTTATTTACTAAGTTTCCTCTGATAATATGTTATGGATAAAGTGATATGATGGTGTGTGTATTTTTCAATGCGTATCTGCATTATGTTATACGTTTAACATAACTATGAATTAATAATTAAATAATAATAAAAAAAAATCATAACCTTGAGGACACAAATGCTATCAAATTGCTTAATTCTAAAATAAAATATAAAAAACCTAAACTAAAATAAAGAAAAAAACTAGCTGATGGTAAGTAATATCATAATATAAAAAGAAATTTAAAAGTAAACTATACATAAAAATAATAAATAAAAAACAAACAATAATAATCAATAAAAAACAAAGAATACTAAAATCTAAAAAGGCTTTTTTGTGGAGTATTTAACGTTACACGCCTAGATAGCTCCTGTTCTATTTTCTCTTCAAAATCCTATGTAGCTCTTCGTTGTCCTATGCGAAGTATTGAACTTCAAACTCTATAGCTAAAGCTTTCTTCCATATCGGCGATTTATTTTTTGCCATTTGTAGGAGGTTAATTATAAACCCAAGTAACTTTGTTCGATTTCGGGTGCCCCTCATCTGAAGTGCAGCCGTTCGGCCGGGTTTTGGTGGCCTACCTGTGAACCTGGTAGTTCGCAGTTTAATTATAAACCCAAGTAGCTTTGTTCTATTTCGGGTGACCTTCATGTGAAGTGCAGCCGTTCGGCCGGGTTTTGGTGGCCTACCTGTAAACTTGGTAGTTCGCCCTAGGTAGGGCGAGACAGTATTGTGTGGGTGTTGGGTTCACACCCTCCCACCAAGTTAGGCATCAGGATCTGGCCTGTTTCTCTGTCTTTCTGTTCTTCTGCTTCAATATCACTTCTTCACAGAAGGAGACTATGACGGTCTAGCTAGGCGTCGCCGCTACCGAGTATCGCTACAACGATGTCCACTGCGGACTACGACCAGTGTGTCATCGGCGTAGCAGAGCATGCTCATGCCTCTAATGAGCGAGCCCCGCAGAACTCCGTCGTAGCCGATGTTCTGATCGGTTGACGGAAGTATTTTTGAGCAGTAGACTAGTCGACTGCATGCTTCTCGTCTTTTTTTTTTCCTTATATTATTGGAGATATTATTTTATCTCCATTTTATTATTTTTCTTATATTTTTCTTTATTCTTATTACTTTCTTTTTTTAATCTTTTCGATTTATATTTCTTTAAGATTGGATGGATTAAACAAGCTTTATTTATAATGCTTATCCATTTTTCAGACTTTCATGCAAAAATCATTGGTTTAAATTATGAACATGCGGGTCTTGAAATAAATTGTGCAGTGCTTTTTTATTTACATTGGAAACAGATAAATTATTGTGACAAATTGTGGGACAAGAACAGTAACGACACAATTCACAATGTTAATTAACACTAGAGTACACGCGCGGACTACTATAGTAGACCAGGGTAACATTTTACGCTATAACTTTTTGAAAACTTGCGCCAGAGAGCTGGCATTCCAGGAAAGCCTCGTTTACTAAATTTGTCAGTAAGTCAGTAAAGCTTGGGTCGATAGAGTCTGCGCACTTTTCTAAAATTGGCCGTCAAAACTGCCAGTTTACTCAAAAGCCCGAAATCACTCGACAAAAAAATTATGAAAGACTTGCAACAAATGGATTTACACCGTGTACCAGGCAGTAGAAAGTCATGAATACTATGACAGATAAAAAATTAATCATATTTTTTCAGTCAATTTTTTTTTGTTAACATTGGTCTCAGAGTGCAATTTTGGTCCAAAAAATTTACAACTTTTAAATCTGTTTATAATGTTTGATCCCAAATAGTTATTAAAGAAACTTTAAATATAAAATAACTATAATAAACACTTTTATCATTTACATAATAATTCTATTCATAAATTGCTTACAAACTGATTTACAGTGATTTTAAATTGGCTTACCAGAGTAGGCCGCGCGTGTATTCGTGTAAAAAAAGGGGCGCGTGTACTGCAGTGTTAAGAATAACCTTTCAAGACAAGTATAGTGGCTAGCCAATATTTACAATAAAAACAATAAATTGGTACAATAAATTCAAATTACAAAATAATTATAAAAATTGAGTTAAAATTAAAATTAAATTAAGATAAAAGGGATTAAAATTGAATACATTAAAAATGAGGCAATAGCCAAATAAATACAATATAATTAAAAGAATTAAAATCAAATGGGGCAAAATGAAAGCACCGCATGAATCTACAAGTTTTTGGCACCATTCGCCTTCGCCGTTTGGCGCATAACGCCATCCGCAAAGGCTAGGAAATGGGCCCGACTGGGATCGTCACCGACCAAGAAGGGGAAGTTGCTTGGCTCTATCGCCCGTTGAACCCTGTGTTCGAAGTTGTGTCGCCTGACCGAGAACCTAGGGCACTCGGTCAGGATGTGTTCTACGTTTTCGTGAGTTAGATCGTCGCAGACACAGGTTTCAACTGGCGAGAGCTTGAACCTATGGAGGTAACTCCTCAAACCCCCGTGACCAGTAAATGATTGCGTCAAGATATTTGTCAGAGCTATCTTTGTGAAGGTTCGATGTGCCGCTCTCACGTCGGGGAAAAACATCCTGGTAACAGATCCGGTCTCTGGTCTCTGAGGATTCGTACCGGATCTGCCACAGCGCTATGGTGTTGCCTCTGATGGATCGCTTGGCGAAGGAGAGAGGGAAGCGGTGGACGAATGCTCTCGTTTTGAGCTTAAGTGCTGCCTCCTTGGCAAGGGTGTCCACCCTCTCATTTCCTGGGAGCCCCGCATGCGCCTTGATCCACATAAATCTGACCGCGATCGGGTTGAGAGCATTTGGGTCCCTCAGCTGGTGGGTGCTTCTCCAGTCTGGCGTTGATGGGTTACGCCGCTGAATCTTTAAACTTTTACTTGCATGATTAGGCGCACAGTGTGCTCAATCAATCGAGTGGGGAAGTGCAGCCCTCTGATCAGCATCTGCACCAGGCGATAGTGACGATGCTTTGCCCCCGATGGCCACTGGTTTAGGGTAGGGCGCATTGCGTCTATGGTGACCCGTAAGGTAACTCGCAGCATCGTAATAGTTGTAATGCAGCGTGG